CGATGACAGATCTGAGTACCGGCCCTGTTGCCGGTACCATGTGACCTGTGTGACCAATCACAGCAGGTCACATAAGAGTTGTATATAACGGATGGCTTCATTCATACCATCCATTGTATACTAGTGTGTCTAGCTGTGAATGGTCACAGCGATCACATCCAGAAGCTGAGCCAATCACAGCCCAGCTGTGTCATGTGATTAGCCGTGGCCAAATCACAGCTAAGCACAAAAAAAAAAAAAAAAAACCCTGAATGAATCGATGTCATTCAGGTAAATGCTTGCTTATAGCAAGTAATTCTTTGCTATAAGCAAATTGTGTAAAAAAAAAAAAAAATACTGATCACTTCCCCAAAGTAGTACAATGTTACTATGGTAACATTGTACTACTTTGGTCATAGTGAAATATGAAAAAAAAAAATCTTAAAAAAAGAAAAAATGTAATAAAAAATTAAAAATAAAAAAAAAATAAAAAAAAAAATTATATTTTTTTTTCATACTGTCACCAGTCAGTGTCCCTGATAACCGCCATGCCAGTTATATGATGATGCTGTACTGCACTAGTGACAGTATGTAAAAAAAAATAGTGAAAATAATTTTTTTAATTTTTTCATTTTCCGAAAAATTATGACAAAAAAAAATACAACTTCTAAAAACTCGCCATGCCTCTTATGAAGTACGTCGGGCTGTCTACTCTGCAAAAAGGGGTCATTTGGGGGATATCTGTACTGTTCTGACATTCTTGGACCTCAAGAAATTAGATTGGCTGTCAGTACTTCAGGATTGATCAATATTCAGATATATCCCATAGTTGTGAACTCTATAACTTTCCTACAAACTAAAAAATACATCCTAATTTGGGTTATTTTCACCAAAGACATGTAGCAAAATACATCTTGGCCTAAATTTATGAAGAACAATTATTTATTTGCAAACTTTTATAACAGAAAGAAAAACGTGGATTTTTTTTTTTCAAAATTTTTGGTCTTTTTTTTGTTAATTTTAGCAAAAAATAAAAACCCCAGTGGTGATTACATACCACCAAAAGAAAGCTCTTGTTGTGTGAAGAAAATGATAACATTTTAGTTTGGGTACAGTGTTGTATGACCGCGCAATTGTCATTCAAAGTGTGAGAGCGCTGAAACCTGAAAAATGGCCAGGGCAGGAAGGGAGTAAAAGTGCCCAGTATGGAAGAAGTTAATAAAGGTCATCCATGTCTAAATATTGTAATGATAATGAGGCCTTGGACAATTAACCACTTGCCCTCCTGAGCATTTACCCCCCTTCCTGACCAGGTCTTTTTTTTGCTATTCGGCGCTGCACTATTTCAACTGGTAATTGCGCGGTCATGCAATGATGCACCCAAATGAAATTTACGTCCTTTTTTTCACACAAATATAATAAAAAAATATAGTAAACTCAAAGTTAGTCATTAATTTAGGCCAAAATGTATTCTGCTACATATTGAAAAAAATACACTTTTTTACTTTTAACCACTTGAGCTCCTGAGGATTTAGCCCCTTAACCAGGCCTTTTTTTGCTGTTTGGCGCTGCACTAATTCAAATGATAATTGCGCAGTCATGCAATGCTGTACCCAAACAAAATTTACGTCCTTTTTTTCACACAAATAGAGCTTTCTTTTGATGGTATTTTATCATCTGTGCGCTTTTTATTTTTTGCGCTTTAAACAAAACAAAAAAAAAAATTTTGAAAAAAAACAATATTTTCTACTTTCAGCTATAAAAAATATATCGTAAACTCAAAGTTAGTCTTAAATTTAAGCCAAAATGTATTCTGCTACATGTTTTTGGTAAAAAAAAAATCCCAATAAGTGTATATTGATTGCTTTGTTTGAAAGTTATAGCGTCTACAAACTACGGTATAGATACTGTAATTTATGCCTTTTTTTTTGCTATACAGCGCTGCACTAATTCAAATGATAATTGCGTGGTCATGCAATGCTGTACCCAAACGAAATTTACGTCCTTTTTTTTTCACACAAATAGAGCTTTATTTTGGTGGTATTTTATCACCTGTGCGCTTTTTATTTTTTGAGCTATAAACAAAAAAATCACAAAAAATTTTGAAAGAAAACAATATTTTCTACTTTCAGCTATAAAAAATATATCGTAAAATCAAAGTTAGTCATAAATTTAAGCCAAAATGTATTCTGCTACATGTTTTTGGTAAAAAAAATCCCGTGCATTAGTGGGCAAACTGGCACTATATGGAGGGGCGCTAACACTATCGGAAGTCACCAGTGACACTAATACAGTGATCAGTAAAAATCTGTTTACTGTAGCAATGACACACTGGTGACAGGGAAGTGAAGGGGTTAACTGGGGGGAGCGATCAAGGGGTTAAATGGGATTACTGGTGTACTGGCGGGCAAACTGGCGCTATCTGGGAGGGGCGCTAACACTATTGGAAGTCGCCAGTGACACTGATACAGTGATCAGTAAAAATCTGTTCACTGATCAATGACACTGGTGACAGGGCAGTGAAGGGGTTAACTCAGGGGGGGGGGGCGATCAAGGGGTTAGACGGGATTACTGGTGTATTAGCAGGAAATCTGGCGCTATCTGGGAGGGGCGCTAACACTATCGGAAGTCACCAGCGACACTGATACAGTGATCAGTAAAAATTGGTTCACTGATCAGTGACACTGGTGACAGGGCAGTGAAGGGGTTAACTGGGGGGGGGGGCGATCAAGGGGTTAAACGGGATTACTGGTGTACTGGCGGGCAATCTGGCGCTATCTGGGAGGGGCGCTACACTATCGGAAGTTGCCAGTGACACTGATACAGTGATCAGTAAAAATCGGTTCACTGATCAGTGACACTGGTGACAGGGCAGTGAAGGGGTTAACTGGGGTGGGGGGGAGAGATTAAGGGGTTAAACGGGATTACTGGTGTACTAGCGGGCAAACTGGCGCTATCTGGGAGGGGCGCTAACACTATCGGAAGTCACCAGCGACACTGATACAGTGATCAGTAAAAATCGGTTCACTGATCAGTGACACTGGTGACAGGGCAGTGAAGGGGTTAACTGGGGGGGGGGGGGGCGATCAGGGGGTTAAATGTGTCCTAGGTGTGTTCTAACTGTGGGTATGTGCTGTTTTACTCACTGTTAGTATGTCTTCTTCTGTCTGGAACGGAATGTGTCCAGGCAGAGAAGAATGACATCATATCCTGTCCTGTGTAAATGTCAACACAGGACAGGATAGGACAGGGACCGATCATCTGATTTTAACTGGCTGAAATCAGATCGGGATCGAATGGTGCCACCCGTGGGTCGGCGGGAGCGCGCGCGCCCCCTGCCGGTGAAAACGTCGGGAGCGCGGAACCCGTTTTAAAACGTGGTTTTGCGCCCCAGTGCCACCCTGCACACGTATATATACAGAGGCAGGGCAGCAAGAGGTTAATGCACAAAGACACAATATACATCACGTGCGCTTTTTATTTTCTGAGCTATAAACAAAAAAAAAATGATTTTTTTTTTTTTTTAAATGATATTTTCTCATTTCTGTCATAATCCAAAAAACTAAAATTTCATCATAAATTTAGGCCAAAATGTATTTTGCTGCATATTTTCTTTTTTTACTTTTAACCTCCCTAGCGGTATGATTATGTCAGTATTTCTGTGCTCAAAGCAGTAAATATTTTTGCATGGAAATATATTGTTTTTTTATTGTAGGCCTGTAATTCTTAGGAATAACTCACTGAAATCTGTCTGAACAAGAGTCTAGTAAACAAACCGGGTATGTTAAAATTTGAAACACGAAATCATAAGTTATATTTTAATAAATAATCATAAAAATAATCATATATAAATTTAATTCAATAATGTAATCAAACCAAAAACACTGAAATTTGAAATAGACCGCCAAGTTCGCACATCACTGATCTTAGTCTCAAAATCGATTTCAGTGTCTGATGAATTTCCCCACGAATCATTATCACTCAATTCTGCAAGTGGTTCTGATTTACTATCGCTGTTCTCTAGCTGGTCTAAAACCGCTTTTGACATAAAGGGACGCTTTTTGGATGCCATGGACGTTTCTCAGTTTCCAGGCAGAAAGAACAGTAAAAATGCAGGCAGGGCACAGGACAAAGCACTAGGGACAAAATGTATGTGAAATGGTTTGATGCAGTAATGTTTTACTATGTGATTTTAGTGTATTTAGCGAATGTCACTTTTAAAATTTTTAAATTACCCGCCGGTTACGTCCCCGTACGTCCCGACGTCCGCAGGGAACGGAAGACGGATGCTGGCATCAGCCAAAGGAGATGGCTGGGGACACTGCAGGGGGGACATTGCGGGAGTGAAGGACAAGGTAAGTGCAGAAGGGATCCCGGAGCAACGCTGCAGTGTATTCCCAAGTGTAGCTCGGGATTACTGCTTACGGTGCTGAAACTTTACCCTGAGCTACACTTGAGAATACCACCAGGGAGGTTAATGCGCAAAAACACATATTGTCCAATTATTTGGTAAAATATAAAAGATGATGGTATGCCCTGCAATGGCGACAAACTGCATCCATTTTTAATATCCATGGGCAAAGCTTTAAAAGCTTTTACAAGCTACTTTTTTAGATTTACAGAGGAGGTCTAGTGCTAGAATTACTGCCCTTGATCTGATGTTCACAGCGATAGCTCACATGCATGATGCAACATGCTGTTTATATACTGGCACAGGGTCAACGCTTGCGCACGCAGGTGTGAGCGCACGGGGGTGAGGGTGCTTTTTTTTTTATTTTAAGTTAATTTGATTTTTTTATAATAATTTTTACACTGTCCCTTTATTTTTTTTTTTAGCATTTTTAATGCTATCACGAGGAAATGCAAATATCCCCTATAACTTCAATGGGCATTGTCATATATTATTTTTTTATGAAATCTGGGATCTATCAGACTCTAGATATCTCCTCTGTCCTTACATTATATAATCTTACCAATTTACAAATGGCGCTGTTTATATCCTGTGAAACTGAAGTGATGAAATGCCTGTAGCTTCCGATTTCTTAGACTATAGAGATGATTGGCACCATTCCGGTCTTCAATCAGCTGTATGGTCAGCTGGCAGAAACACCGGCTGCATTCTCAGGTTCCCCCGATGGCATGAGACTGCCCAAGAAAGCCGTGGAAGGCAGCGGGGGCTTGTAAAAGCAATCCTGCAGTCATTTAGGCACTAAGATTGCTTTTACATGAAAGCCGATCACCGGCTGAAAAAAAACGATACCAGCTGCAGGCATCATTCTGGTATAACCACTCAAAGTCCAGTGATGTACCACTGGTCTTTGTTAGGTGTATATGCTATGTTCTTTTTTTTTTTCAGCCTGTGGTATGAATGAAAAAAAAAAAAATCTCTGCCAGAAAAAGTGTGGTATGCCCACCACTAGAATATACTTCCCTGCATCCACCCACTTCTAATGGAGGGCACACATGAAATGTGCCAAAAAATATTTTAAAATATATATGCCGAAGCATATGAGGCCATCCACCCACTGGCCACCCCAGGCCCCCATACTTCAGCATACTGTATATGCCCTTTTTTTTTTTAATGCGGATGAAAAATCTCATCCAACAGCACTGCACACACTTACTTATGTATATTCTGAGAGCAAGACCCTGTTGCTGTCAGAATAAACAAGTCATTACTGCAGCTGAATGACATCCTCATTTCTCAAGCTTGATTTTTCCTCTTTCTAAGATTTTTACAAGCCGTTGGGGGAAGCTCCGGCGATTAGGTCGCGTGGTGCCACATGTGCCAATTCCAAGATTGTACAAATGTCTAAATAGTGGAACACTTGAAAAAAATTGTCAACGTATAGTAGTACCCCATATGGAAAAAGGATGACACCAAGTCCCAAACTATCTTGCCACTGCTCCCCATGTAGTCTGGGCATCCGGGCGACTCCCTCGTAAATCCGAAACTTATATGTATAGCTTATTTCCTTTTCACAGGTCTTATACATCTTGACCCCATATCTGGCACACTTTTTGGGGAGATATTGTTTGAATGCAAGGCAGCCAGAAAAATGAATGAGGGACTCATCAAAGCAGATATTTTGCTGGAGAGTATAGACATCTGCAAATTTTTGGTTAAGGTGATTTACGAAGGGCCGAATTTTGTAGAGCGGTAAAATTCAGAGTCACCCGAGGACGACAGAGTGTGTTTTCATTAAAATGCATAAAACACATTATACTTTCATATCTATGCCTGGCCATGGCAGCAGAGAGCACGGGCATATGATGAATCGGGTCTGTGGACCAAAACAACCGCAATTAATTTTTTTTAGTAATGTCCATTTTGAGGGTTAAGCCCAAAAAAAAATTGAAATTTGGAAACCTTAATGGGTTTCTATGCAAATGGTCTGGCAAAGTTTGAATTTAGGTTGGCGGTGATAAAACGGTTTGTGCATATACTGTAAATTGCTTTGATCCACAATCCATGCATACAGATCTTCTGTGAAAAACAGCTCCAAAAAATCAAGGCAAGTATTTACATTTGCTGTTTACACCTAATTTCCAGATTGGGCAGTGAATGGGGGAAGTACGGGTGCTGCAGAATTTGTGGGCTACCAATCAGGATTTGCAAGCACATCCGGAAGGATACTAGGGGCTCTACGGGCCTGTGTGCTAATTATTCATGGCTGCAGGACACTACTTGTGCTCGCCACTGCACCAGCTTGTACTGCACTTATGGACTCGCAACGTCACCAAGTGATACTGCAGTGCTGGTATGTGAAAGACCAGGATGTACTAGGCCGCTGGTGCTCGCCAGGTCACCAAAGGGTAGAGAGGCACTAGTATTGGCACTCTGCTGCATATGAGAGTCATCATGGGATTGTAACATTTCAGCAACCTGGGAACAGGTTTGGGTACGCCTGATCTTAGCAGGGACCTCTTCTCCATCATCTGAGCTAGCTGTCAGGGTGCCGCTGCTGTGTACGTATTCTGAGGCTGATTGTGTCAGTGAGTCTTCCCCTTCGCATTCATCTAACATGCTCAGAATCCTGTAGGCCTCTTCATTAGTGTACCTTTCCATTGACATTTTGGCCACTAAATTTATAGGAACCTAGTGCGACTCACGGGAAAAAGAGCACCTGGCTGTTAGGGACTGCTACCACTACAAAAAAAATTTACCGGCAAGTGCTGACAGAGATCAGGTTGGATTCTGTGAACACTGTGGTTTTGTGTGCAATGTATCGAGTGACAGTGACGTACTGACACTGCACTTGCTGGGGGAGAAGGGGGGGGGGGGGGTAAGTGTAGGGGCTAAACCAAGTGCTGGCAGGTGTCGGGGCTGATCCCACTAATGCTGCATTCTTGGGGACACTATACTAATGTGAACGCTGGTATAGTGTTGATCTGATCAAAGATATTGATCCGTTCAGACACTATACTAGCAATGGAGGTTTATTGTGTATGAGCGTGTTCCTGGCAATCAAGGGGTTAAATGTGTTTACTGGTGTACTGACGGGCAATGTGACGCTATGTGGGAGAGGCGCTAACTGACGCTAACACTATGTGAAGTTGCTGGTGACACTAAGACAGTGATCAGCAAAAAATCTGTACACTGTACTAATGACACAGCTGACAGGGCAGTGAAGGAGTTAACTAGTGGGGGGGACGATCAAGGGGTTAAATGTGTCCTAAAGTGTTCTAACTGTAAGCGTGCTGTTTTACTTGCTGTGTCTTAATTCTCTCTCTGGGGTGGAATGTGCCCAGAGAGAGAAGATTTCATCATTTCATGTACCTGTGTAACTGTAAACACAGGTACAGGAAGATCCCTGATAGGACAGGGATCGATCATTCGACTTAAGCCAGCCATCACTGGCCTAAATCGGATGATTGATCCCTCGGGGATTAAATCACAGCACCCGTGGGTCGGCCCCCTGGCCCACATAAACCGCGGGAGCGCAACTTTTTTTTTTTCTACTAATAATGGCGGTGATCAGCAACTTATAGCAAGACTGCGACAGGAATTCTGACACTAGGGGGAACTGACTTGGTGTCACTGGCATCCCCAGTGACACCAATACAGTGATCAATGCTAAAAAAAAAAAAGCACTGAAACTGTACTAATGGCACTGGGCAGGAAGGGGTTAACATAAGGGGCAATCAAAGGGTTAACTGTGTGCTGGTAGTGTTTTACTAGGGTCGAGGGGGTGTGCTTCACTGTAAGCACACTGCTCTGGATGGCTGTGCACAGCCATCCAGAGTAGTGTGCCCAAACCGACAAGGAGGAGGACTGTTAGTAAACAAAGCATTTTCTGCGCTAAGGCTGTCGCAGAAGCGGTTAAAAGCTGAGTGGTGAATGTAAATAACACAAAAATTTTTGTTTGTAATCACTCCTCCCCAACGGTGATTGTCAGTAATCACGGGCGCTGGCGGGTAATCACCTGCCGCGGCATGGTGATTCACAGCAAATGGTGATGCAGGTAGTGTGCCCCCCACCCGAAAATGTAAAATCACGTATATATACATGATTTTGTGCACCTGTGCCGCCCTGTAGCAGTATTTCTGCTATAGCGCGGTGCAGAAGCCTAGGCAAATGGAAGTGTAAGCCCCCCCCCCCCACAGTCTTCTAGTACAGTGAGGAACAGAAGTATTTGAACACCCTGCAAGTTCTCCCACTTAGCAATCATGGAGGGGTCTGCAATTCACATTGTAGGTGCATTCCCACTCTGAGAGACAGAATTAAAAAAAAAAAATTCAGGAAATCACATTGTGTGATTTTTAAAGAATATATTTGTCTTGCACTGCTGAACATAGTATTTGAACACCTGAGAAAATCAGTGTTAATATTTGGTACAGAAGCCTTTGTTTGCAATTACAGAGGTCAAACGTTTCCTGTAGTTCTTGACCAGGTTTGCACACACTGCAACAGGGATTTTGGCTCACTCCTCCACACAGATATCCTCTAGATCTGTCAGGTTTCGGGGCTGTTGCTGAGCAACACGGAGTTTTAGCTCCCTCCAAAGATGTTCTATTGGATTTAGGTCTGGAGACTGGCTAGGCCACTCCAGAACCTTGATATGCTTCTTACGCAGCCACTCCTTGGTTATCCTGGTATCCTGGCTGTGTGCTTCAGGTCGTTGTCATGTTGGAAGACCCAGCCACGACCCATCTTCAATGCTCTGACCGAGGGAAGGAGGCTGTTGCTCAAAATCTCACAATAAATGGCCCCATTCATCCTCTCCTTAATACAGTGCAGTCGTCCTGTCCCCTTTGCAGAAAAGTACCCCCAAAGCATGATGTTACAACCCCCATGCTTCACAGTAGGGATGGTGTTCTTGGGATGCAACTCATCCTTCTTTTTCCTCCAAACACAACGAGTGAAGTTTAGACCAAAAAGTTCTACTTTGGTCTCATCTGACCACATGACTTTCTCCCATGCCTCCTCTGGATCATCCAGATGGTCTTTGGCAAACTTCAGACCGGCCTGGACTCCTCCCTTGTAGTTCTGGGCTGATTCTTCACCTTTCTTATCATCAGTGATACCCCAGGAGGTGAGATCTTGCATGGAGCCCCAGTCGGAGGGACACTGACAGTCGTCTTTAGCCTCTTCCATTTTCTAGCAATTGCTCCAACAGTTGATCTATTTTCACCAAGCTGCTTGGCAATTGCCTCATAGCCCTTTCCAGCCTTGTGGAGGGCCACAATTTTGTCTCTGGTGTCTTTTGACAGCTCTTTGGTCTTGCCCATGGTAGTAGTTGGCATCTGACTGACTGTGGGGTGGACAGGTGTCTTTAAAGAGCTCAGACAGGTGCTACTAAGTTAGATTAATGAGCGGAGTAGAGGTGGACTTTTTAAAGGCACAGTAACAGGTCTTTGAGAGCCAGAATTCTTGCTGTTTCTTAGGTGTTCAAATACTTATGTTCAGCAGTGCAAGACAATTAAATTCTTTAAAAAAAAATCATACAATGTGATTTTCTGAATTTTTTTTAAATTCTGTCTCTCAGAGTGGGAATGCACCTACAATGTGAATTTCAGACCCCTCCATGATGTCTAAGTGGGAGGACTTGCAAAATCACAGGGTGTTCAAATACTTCTGTTCCTCACTGTACATGTGACAGGTTACAGAAGACTGTGGGACCATTCACCATGTGCAGCATTTGCGCATATGTGCATTGGGCACCCAGTTGTGAAGCCACAAGCTGTCACAGACAGATGCCCACACTTAAATTATTGGCGACGGAGACTTAGGATGGCTGGCGAACCTGGCTGCAGTAGGCACATTGCTGGATCGAAGGACGGGTGAGTGGCTGTTTTTTTTAAAAGTCAGCAGCTACAGTTTTGCCCAGGCTTTTCCTGCTAGAGATCAGTTAGCATCAACTGTGGCAAA